GATGTTCATTGGACAGTCGATGGTAAAGAATATTTAAGCGTCGATAACCGAAATAAGAAGATATTAGTCTTGGCCAATGACATCCCTTCTACCAATTGGCACCTCCAATCCAACTTGGGTGTTACTGCTGCCCGTAGACCTTCAACCACCACTTCTACTCCTCCTGCTCCTACTGCTGGTGCCTCTAGCTCATCTCGCCCCATTCCTTTTCCTGAATACAATCTTTACATGGGCGAGTTTGCACGCTTGAACTACCGTTACACCAGCATACAGCAGGAAGTCGGAGAAATTTATACGGGTGTCGCTGAAATCACTTCTGAATTTCAGGACTACCGTAACTTGCAAGAAGAGCGTTGGGCCCAACAAGAACTGCGGTGGGCTGAGCAGGATCAGAGATGGATCGCTCAAGAGCAGCATAACCGCAACGTTCATCATTTGATGAGCGATATCCATTGAGTTCTTGTGCTCCCCACACAGCAGCAGCATCATCATCCCAACCCCAATGGCCTCCATACTATCCTGCAGATTATCCTTCACAGTTCCCTCCATATCCACCGCCCGGTCCTCAATAGGCCGGCTATGCCTCTCTCCAAGCATCGAGGACGATGCTTATTTTAAGCTTGGGGAGGGGCATCCATCCATGTATTATCCCGTTGCATGTAGGTTGCATGTAATTTTGTACATATTGCATTGCATTGCATTATTTTTCTTTGTCATTTAAAAAAAAAAATAATAATAATTTCAAAAACCAAAAAGATTTTCTTTCTATTCTAATTTTTATTATTTTCTTTGCATCTAAACATCTAAATTTTTGTATTGCATTGATCTTAAAAAAAAAAAAAAAAAAAAAAAAAGATCCAATCCCAAGCAACCGAATCTTTTCGAAACAGTTGAGCTGGTAAATGAGTCATGTGCCTTGAGATTAGACTTGCTCTTTTTATTGAAAATCTAAAAGCAAGTTAATCGCACACGAACACACCTCCCGAAGCTACTTGTGCAAAACAGAAAGTGAGAAGCTTGTCAACATTGGAGCATAACAGCAGGTATGAGTTAATTCTTTGGGACATATGAATGGTCTTATGAGTAGTAAATGCTCAATTGAACTTAAAATGCCAAAAAAAAAAAGAATGCAAAATTTCAATGTCCCGAGCCTTCCAACGCTCTAAAAAGTCATTTCTACTCATTCCCTTTTATATACCCTGCTTGGGGACATAGCTTTCAACTATACTTACGGGTCTTTGCATGTTAACCTTTAGTCCCCTGAAAAATGTCTTAGAAGTCCTCACGGTAATAAACCGTGAGATGTCCCACAATAGAAAAGTCAAGGGCGAAAATATAAAGAAATTGGCCAAATAAATAAATAAATAAATTAATAAGAGTGTTATGTGTTAACTTAGATATTTGTATATGTGTTACTTAAAATATATAAAAAAAAAAACTATTATTAAGTTAATCTGTGACCTTTGGGATTCGAACAAGTAAACTCTGAGGGGTGTTTTACACCTAATCGCCTAAAGCTAAATTGTTTGGGACTGATTGAGTTGAAAATTCGTTACATGGGTTCCATAGAAAGTCATGAACTTAATAATAGCAAATAAAGCTAATCTGTGGCCTTTAAGGTTCGGGCAAGTAAACCCGAGGGATCTCTTTAAATCTAGCACACTAAGGTCATTTGATTTGGATGTGTTGGTTGGAAGCCCGTTACACGGATTTCAAAGAAAGCCATGAGCTTTATTTGTAAAAAAAAAAATAATAATTAAGAAGTTTGTATATAATTGTGTTTATAGTTTAATTGAATATTGTGTTTAGGAAAAATACTTGGCTGTCAAAAGATTCCCTTGGACTTGGATTTGAACTTATGACATTGGACTGAATGTTAATTACTTTGGCTGGTGTAAGTGGTTAGAAGTTTGTAACCAATCTGGATAAATATTAGGGAATTTTTTAGAAAAGATTTTTCAGAAAAAGATTGTTGTTGACCAACAAATAGCTGGAATCGGACATTGTTATATTTTATGAAACAAAGATGGTTGAGCATGTTTTGTCACATATAATTTCACGAGAGTAAGACCATAATTTGTTCGTAGAATTGACTTGATGATATTAAAAAAAAAAAAGTGTTGTGATCTTTGATTCTGTTGAGTTGTATTAGGGAGTGGCTAAAGTCTTATTTCTATTATCATATAATATTTTGAGACTAAAGCCAAGTTGACTCAAGGCATGACAAGTACATTCTCAACTATGGTACAAAACAGGGTAATTGGGTTGGATCTTTTCATGTTTGTTTTGATTTCATGCATTAAGTTTCAAATAGTTTTAACTTTAATTTTCTTTTCTTCTATTCTATTTTATTTTCTCTAGTTTAAATCTTCTTGCTCTTTCTTGAGGATAATAAAGGTTCAAGTTTGGGGAGATTTGTTAGATGCATATTCATGCATTCATTTTGTAGTTTTAGTTCATAAAAGTGCATTGCATTTAGGTTTAAACTCATGCATTTTGCATATTTTTCGGGATTTTTCATGATGCAATTCCATTCACACACTTTTATGATATTTCATGGACTTTTGAAGGTTGGATCTTGATGGAGGAAGTTAAAAAGAGTTGGAGACAAAGTTTCAGAAGTTTTGGAGCATTGAAGAGAGAGAGAATGAAGAAATGAAGATTTGAGCCTTTCAGACATTTACACGGCCGTGTAAATTATGGCTTATATTTTACACGGGCCGTGTAAACGCATATGCAAGAGCATTCTTCTTTTCTTGTTTACACGGTCGTGTAAATGGCACTCTTTAATTTACACGGGCCGTGTAAACGTCTCGACAGTTTTTAAAGTAGTTTTACTCTCATTTAATGGAGACAATCAGTTTTGTTGGAGGTTAGGTCGGATTTTGGACAGAGAGAAGGCGATTTTCAGAGCTTTTGGAAGTAGATTAACACTTGGAAACACTTTAATTTCCTTTTTGTAAGTCAATTTGAAGTTTGAACTTGTTTGATTTGTAGTTTAACCTATACATGTGTGGTTGATTTCATTATCATTTCCGAATCTGAATTCTTAAGTATGTGTTGTTAGGTTGTAACTTGAACTTGATTTGTGTTTAACATCTAGTAATCTTTGATTTGATCTTAATCATGTGTTTGGTTAGTTCTCTTTTTCACTTGATCAATGAACTAGGGTTCTTATCAATCTAGTTAATCAAATTATGAAATTCGTATATGTTTTATGATTTGATGTTAGTAACACACACTTACTTGGTTGTAATTAGATCAAAATTAGTGCAATCAAATATTAAATGTTTATATTCCCAAGCTTAAGAGGAATGTTAAACATTGTTGGTAATTAGTGCAAAAACTTAATGTCATTTAATGATTTGATGCAAGAACTTATTTGAATTGAATCAATTAAATGAAGTTTTATTTGAAGAGCTTGTTTTGAATAAAATACTTTTGCCAATTTGGATATTAGAGTTTATTAATATCTAACTTACCAACCTAGATTGAACATGAGTTATAATCATATTACATCTTTCAACATAATACATGTATAAGAGTCAGAATCGGAAATGTACTTCTTTTACTGCGTTTTGTTATCAATCTTTCTTATTTATGAAGTTTAATTCAAGTTCAAACACTATCCCCCATTTTAATATTATTTGTATTATGTGTGAAAATATGGCAAGATAAGAAGTCCTGTATTCCTGTGGACCGACCCTGCTTACTCTATACTATCTTTAGTATAAGAAATAGCAGTGACTTGAGCTTTATTAATATTATTTTATCCCATTATTTGTTGGTTTGACACCCTAACATTTGATATAACAGTTTTGTTTATGAATGAAATGGTTCATAATTATGGCTTTCACTAATGATTTAAAAATGGAATTTTTGGACTGTATTTTTAAGATGTTATATGTGGTCCCTCGTATACTTGAAAATACCATTATGCAATTTTAATTATGTTTTGATATTATCTAGATTTGTTGTTATATTTTAATAATTCTAAAATAATAAATCGGCTATACTTGAAAATACCATTATGCAATTTTAATTATGTTTTGATATTATCTAGATTTGTTGTTATATGTTAATAATTCTAAAATAATAAATCGACTGACAAACCCTCTCTTTCTCTCCATAACCAATGTCTCCCAATTTCACCACCATCATGCTCCCCATCTCCACCATCAACACCTTCATCTTATTCGACAACTAAGACTAACCAACAATAAATCATTAGGAAATCAGATCAAAATTGAGTTAGAGTAATTTGAAGCTTATTGATGGACACAAAACACAATAGACCTAACTTTTAGGTATACAAAATACCCAATGGATTTAACCCTCTAATTAGTTTTAAAAAACATTTATTGTTGGTGTGCTTAAACCAATTTCAAAAAACCCAACTTGTTGGCTTCTCTAAAAAAATCGATATAGAAACCCAATTAATAAACTCATATCAAACAAAAACCACATCATGAAACCCAAATAAAATCAAAATCAAAATTAATCTCTTGTACAAGTAAAGAACACAGATTAGAGCAATGCAAGTCACGGAGAACATACATTAAATACCCACGAAAAAAAAGTTCAATGAATAAATATGAACTAAGTTGAAAATTCACATGGAAGACATTGCGACCTTGATTGAAGTCTCGAAACAACATCCACGATAAATAAATAATACGAAATGATTTAAAGATTTTTTTGGAAATCTAGTAGCATTGTGCTGTCTTAATCAAGTGGCTAAATTGAAGGGTGAATATGAGACCGGATTGAACTGAAATTTTACTACAATAATTTTACTACCAACTCATTGATCTCATTCATCTTAAATATGAACAATGAAAATTGGATTTGGACTAAGTGTAATGAACCTTTATATGGGCTGGTCATCAAATAAATTAAATGGTAGCCCACTTTTTGTATTTTAAATCAGCCCCAAAAAATGTCTTTAGTCCAAGTCCTTTTTAATAGCCGCCCACTATGTGGATTAAGACTCACGTGACTATTAGAAAAAAAAAAAACTTTCATCACAACTTTCTTTTGGAGGGATCGGTTTTGGGGGTATACATCCACACACTCATCAGTTTCTTTGGGGGATTCATACGCACGACAGAATAGAAAAAAAAAGGAAGATCGATTTGAAGGTTTCTAGCATCAAAACAATCTTTGATTTTTTATTTGTAAGTATTAATTTTTGTTGATTGAATTGTAGTTTCAGAGGTTTAGCCCTAAACCACCGGGTTTGATGTTTGAATTAATTGTTTAGGCTCGTTTTAGATCGTTGTGTGAAATTGTTAATTGAATCCGTATTGGAGTCGCATAATTTCTGAAAATAAACTCGATCTCAAAAGGAGCCACCAAATTAGGGGATTTACCCGAGGCAATCGATTCCGTCGGTTGAATTCGTAAGCTCTTATTGTAATTTTGTAGTTCTCTAAGTCGATTTCGTTCATTAACTCTAGCTTAAGAACATTTTGTGGGAAGCCATACGATTATAATCCTATTCTGTTCTACATTTCACTTTTGATTTTTCGTTCCAGGTTTCAGAAAAAAAACTAGGGTTTTGTTGGCTGTAACGATGTCGGTAACGGCGGGTGTTAGTGATACTGTCATAGCGGTTAGGGATAAGCTTCGAGGCAAAATCGGGCAAACAAAAGTGAAGAGGTATTGGCCTGGAAAAGCTCCTGAGTGGGCAGATGATGGCGATGAAGAAGGTGATATGCGGATGGCAAGGTCAGTTGCTTTGGAGAAGGCTTTTCCTAGCAGGGAAGATTCAAATATCATGAAAAGAGATGATCGTAGGCTGCGTCGTTTAGCAGAGAATAGATTCGATAATAAGGAAGAAATAAGAGCAGATCATCGAAGAATCAGACAAGCTGAGATCATTTCAACAGAGGAAGAAGAACAGAGGAGACAAGAAAGGATAGAATTTGAAGAAGATGATGAAGATGCTCTTGATGAAAGAAGGAGACGAATCAGGGAAAAGTTGCTTCAGAGGGAACAAGAGGAAGCTGCCATGATTCCTGAAGAAGAAGAAGAAGAGGAAGAGGAAGAAGAGGAGTCATCTGAATATGAAACAGATTCAGAAGAAGAGCAAATGGGTATGGCTATGGTGAAGCCCGTGTTTGTTCCCAAATCAGAACGTGACACCATTGCTGAACGTGAAAAGATCGAAGCAGAAGAACAAGCAATTGAAGAGTTAATGAAGAGAAGAGCAGAAGAAAGAAAAATCGAAACAAAACAGATAGTTGTTGAAGAAATCCGTAAAGACCTACAAATCCAGAAGAACCTTGAAGCAGAAGCCAACATTGCTGACATAGAAACAGACGATGAGTTAAACGAAGCTGAAGAATATGAAGCATGGAAGGCTCGTGAGTATGCAAGAATCAAAAGAGATAGAGAAGATAGAGATGCAATGTCAAAGGAAAGGGAAGAGATTGAAAGAGTTAGGAATATGACTGAAGAAGAAAGAAGAGAATGGGAGAGAAAGAATCCAAAACCTGCATCTGCACCTAAACAGAAATGGAGATTCATGCAGAAATATTATCATAAAGGTGCTTTCTTCCAGGATGATCCAGATGACACTGCTGCAACAGTTGGTGCTGATGGAATTTTCCACCGTGATTTTAGTGCTCCAACTGGAGAGGATAAGATGGATAAGACTATTTTGCCCAAAGTTATGCAAGTCAAGCATTTTGGTCGTAGTGGAAGAACAAAATGGACTCATCTTGTTAATGAAGATACAACTGACTGGAATAACCCGTATGTTTTCATTATCTTTTTAGCAATGCACATCTTTTTGCATTTATTATTCATGTTGTGTTTGCTTAATTTTACAGATGTTTTTTGTTGATGTTGTGCAGGTGGACATACAATGATACACTAAGAGCTAAATACAACACAAAAATGGCGGGTATGAATGCTCCTATTGCTAAACCTAAAGGAAAAAAGATCAAGGACTGGGAATCTCGTTGAAGTTTAATGGAATATGTAAGCATTTAGACACTTGATCATTAATGTTTATCTGTATTGTTATCTTGCTTAAAAGTTTTTCTTGTTTTGTACACCTTAAGTTTGACCCATCTCTTCTCTGCAGTATGCTTGTTAGAACAGTTTGGTTGATATTTGATCAATCAGTCATCGTTTTAGAAATATAACATGAAAATGGAGGGAGATATATGTTTTTAATCAATTGTGGGTTCCCCATTCCTTGACAAATTACCTGAACTTGTGGCTATATGCCTTATTGATCCTTTAGGGCAAATCGTGTTTGATGTTGAAGAAAGTGGAAACCATCATTAAACACGAAGCTACAAGCTTGAATGAATCATGAATGCATATCACCTATATGAAACTGCAATCTCTGTGGCTTAAGCCATAAAGCCTGTTGAAATTGAAATTGCATTGTTTTGAAACACTCATTGAAGTGCTTGAAAATTGAATCCAAAGGAATCTTGAAAGTTGATTTCTAATTCAATGATGATTCGATTGCTCAAAATGGCTTAAACAATTTCTACGTTAAAGACCAATCATGACTTCATTCTACTCATAAGAATGGTTCTTGCCAACTTCATTTATAAAGTTTTTGTGTTTGGAACAGATAAATCAATGGAATTGAATCACCTTCTCTTGTTTGTTTAAGGACAAGAATAGAAAAATGAGAAAAAAATATCAATTCTTTTTCCACCCGTTTAATTCTCTATATTTTATAGGGAAGTTGTGAGGATTAAAAAATAGAGGGACACAAAAAAATGAAAAAAGAAGGCGGAGAAATGAAAAAAAAGGAGGGGTCTTTCCCTCTCTAATATTTCACCGTTTACCTGATTACATCTCTCTCTTTGACGATTTTGGACACTTTCTTCTTTGATAAAGGTAATTTCTTCTCTGATTAAAGGTAATATAAAAAACCTTACCAAAGTGATGATACTTGGGACTTGTTATACATTCAACTATATTATGGCTTTTAATCACCCTCCCACCTTCGAAATCAGAACAACCCAATTGGTAAACCTTTTTAAATTTTGCACGACAATGCTAAGTTTTTATTGCAATACTACTAGTGTAGACGAAGCACACAAACTTTTTGTTAAAATGCTCGAAAGAAACTTTGTTGTGGAACACTTAAATCAGTGCTTTAATTCGTGGTGAGTCAAAAGAATGCTTTTCACCTTAGATAGTTGTGACATTTGAGCAGTTGCAGCTCCACATGTGAGATCACAAGATTACTGGTTATGCTCTTCATTCATCTTACATAACTAGATGTGGTGTTGAATCATTGCTTCAGGTAATTTTTCAATAGTGGAAAATTAAAATAGTTGATTTTGTTTATAAATTGTTTAATTGTCTGTAACGAACGTGTTTAGCTTGGAAATGGGAAGGCGTAGGGGCAGTATGCCATAAAGTTTGTGATTGATAGTCTATCATTTGAATTATGTGATTCTTTCTAATTTATTCGATTATAAAAGGACGATGTGAAGAGAATAAGAAATTTGATGAAAATGAAGGTTGTGGTTTATACTTTATAGCTTTTGTATTTAGTTGTTTCATACTTTCTCCATTAGCGTATAACAAAAATGTAATTTAAATGGGTTGATTAAAAAAATTAACATTTTCTTTGAACTTGAATCTAAAGTGCAATGTTGGTTATTTTCTAACATGTAATTTATTTGTTAATTTAAACCTATAACTAAAATGAAATACTGGACTAAAAAAAAGTGGAGAAATATAAAAATACTTAATATGACAATGCATGGTAATAATATTATTGTAAAAGAAAATTGTTTGAAAATGATAAAAAATTTTAAGAAAAATCATTTCCATTTCATTATTTGCTACAACCAAACAAGAAAACCGATCTATATCTGGTGAATTTTTTGTTGTACCAAACAACAAAATCAATTCTTTTTCTCTACATTTCCTACTTCAATTTCATTTCTCTGGGTTGGAAGAAAATTACTATTTGCACTATTTTATACACATTTTTTTATCAATTTATTTATTTATTATACTATAAAAGAGATAAAGTTCATTACATCATATTATTTTGAAACTTCATAATTTTTCAAATTTCTAATAAACTTCTCTATAATAATACATAAATTGGTTTGCTATTGTGAAATAAGTACAAAAAAAAAAAATTCATACATAAATTTTAGTATTCTATAAAAATTTGATAATAATAAACGGTTATAAAGTTAATTAATAATGATAATTTGTAGCAACATAAATTTTTAATATACATTATATTATTTTATAAACATTGATATTTTAAATAAGGATCCAAAGTTAAAAAAACCAAATAAGTAATTTTTAAATTACTTAATCATAACAAAAAGTAAAACTATAATTTAAAAATTATATTTATTTTTATTTGCAAGTAAGACACACATGAATGTCCTTTGATTTTAATAGATAACTTGTAAATTTGCTTTAACAAGAATCCATTAAAATTCGCTTACACTAACACAAAATAATGTAGAAAGTTAATACAAGGGTCATGTTGACAAAACACGAAAAGAAGAAGGGCCAAAACAGATTTTTCTCTTAACTAATATCTGACCTTAGAATAGTCAAACACTCGAACCTTTTACTCGATGAACATCAACCAAACCCCTATCTGTGATTCAATCTCCGGTATCTCAAGTCACAACTCTCCCATGGCAGAAAATGGTGAAAAATCGGAAGTCAGAGATTCACCATCAGTTCCAGCATCTGTAAGCCTCTCTATCTCGATAATTTTCTTTATATATCAATAATAATTCAGGCTGTTACTGTTCGAATTGACTTTATTCATGTTATTAATATTTAATCACGACGTTTACTTACAGTATCTGGAGGTAAGTTGCAGAAGTTCAAGCAAGATTAGAAGGTTTTCTTCGGGTACGGAGGCCGGATTTGCATTGAATTTGATCAACAGAAAGCTTGATGAAGGATTGCCGCAGGCATTGTATATAGAAGCAGTTAAAGAAGAGGAAGAGCCAATCAGTTTCGGTCCTAATTCAGTTCTTGTATCTTACGGCCATGGATGGAAGCTGCGGACAGTTACTGAAACCGAAGGTACAAGTTTGCTTGATCAGTTTGACTTGTAGACGTGTTCTATATTTTTTAAGTTCAGTCGAAACATATGTACCAAATTTTCAGATCAATAATCAGAAAACGATAACTATTGTGAAATCGTTCTATAATATCAAGTTTGAATATACAAATTTTAGGGTTTACATTTAGATTGAAACATGTCAAAGTGTATATCTAACTTCGTGTGGATGCCAAATTGATATCATAGCAAAAACCTTTTGTTTTTCTAAATTGTTTCTTATTTACTAGTGTTCTTCATTATAATTTTGTGTTCTTGGTCTTGAAGGAGGTCCAAGAGCTAGAACAAGAACCAGAAGAACATCAAACCGAGAATCATCTTCACCGGTATGTGTAATTATTACTGTTATCAGTTCGTATTTTCAGAATACCAAAATCTTATGAAACCTCAATAGGTCTCTGATAACAATATCTTACATTTTTTTCATGGAAGTCATATCTGACTATATTTCATCATGTCTACTTGCAGGGATTTGATGATATGCAATCAACAAAAGGACTATTACCATCTGTTATAGGTGCCAATTACATTGCTAAAGTATTGCTGGCTTTTGTTTTACTTTTTTTGTTTGGGGCAATTTTCACATTAGCTCTTGAGAACCTTCCCAGGTTTCTTTTTTCCATCAGCTCTTCCATTTAAGTACATCAATATATATTATTCCTAGCATGCTTTTCTAGCTATGAAACCTGTTTAATTCTGTAAATTCCCATATCTAAAACTGCTGGAATTGGTATTTTTATGATTTACCCGAAATACTGAAACAGTAACTTAGTTGCATACTTGGTGTTGATTATTGTACTTGAAGTTTAGATACTTGGAATGTGCATATATTCTAGAGGGATCAAGGACTATGGGGTTGTTTCTTTTTTACTTAAAATGACTTAATGAGTTAAGCCCTTAGTCTCGATAACTATATATGGTTGTTTCGTTTTGACCTAATATGGAGAGAATGACTTAATGAGTTGAGCTAAAATAAACTTGGTATAATTATTAAGACGCCAACCATCTACTTATTACCTTTTTCCTACCAACTTCTGTCACATTAAAATCGATGCATATTTGTGCGTTCCATATAAGGGTTTACCATTTACCTATCTAGGGTATGTTTGGCAAAAGTAGCCGGTAAATGTATTTGGGTGGAAGTGTTTGAAGTAGCTTTTGGATTAATTTTTTTTTGTTTAAAATAAAAGATTTAAGTTCGTACTCCCGAATCTCTCTCTTTTTTTTTTTTTTTTTTTTTTTTTTTAAATTAATTCGAACTTTTTCTTAAAAGTTAAAAGCTGGTTGTCGAACATTAAGTTAGTTTCATTAGACCGTTTATTCGGTCTAGACCATAATACAACACTTCGTCAATACATATATCATTACTTATTCATTTACTTTCAATTACTTTACCGTACAATATTTATTTTTTTGGAAACGGAAAATGAATTAAGCGGAAACTTACTCGCAATATTTCAGCCAACACCTCGGGTTCGAGCTCATTTACAAGGCAAACTCAGTCCTCATAGAGATTTCTAGGGAAAAATTCCTTACATGTGACATCACAAGAGGTAGTTTATGTTAGAAAATAGGGGATGAATAGATTGCTTGGATTCTCTGAAAGTCGTGATTCACTATCAAATTGAAGTATTTCGATGGTACAGATCGAACACTCAATTGGATGAATTTCAGAGAATGAAATCTGAGAATGTATGTGAAAATGTTCTTCAAGATGTATCAGAAAAATGACCAAAAAACGGATTATATCTTTCTTGTCTGAAAACTATCAATACAGTTACAAACTGTCATAAAACTACAAAACCTGTCATTAAACGGATCTCAGGGAAAAAAGAGTCAACTTTCTAAAATTGGATTTTTGATGCATTTTTTAATAAAGCAACATAGTGGACTGGTAAAAAAAGACACACATAATGTTTCTCTTACCCTTCCATTCCATCCCCTTTCCATCTCTTTAAAAAAACATATTTCCATTCTAAATTACTTTCCTTATTTTCCATTCCACTCCCTAAATAAACTCAAGAAAAAGGTGTTAAAAAGTCTCAACAAGTCAACAACTATTCCTCATAAAAACTAGCGAAAATGATGGCTATTATTGGAAACCACTTGATTTTTGGCTCAATCTTAAAACAGTTTAAGTATAAGGCCAACGGGTATGACATATGTTTTTACGCGTAAAGGGTGAGGTGGTAGGGATGTTCACGCGTGAACACCGTCCCCCTAGCCACTAAATGTGGTGTGGATTGGAACGAGTTATGCGTCCTTACGACCAATAACAATCGATTTTGGCAAACGGTCACTTTTTGACCCGTTAAACAAATTAAAAAAAAATTCTATCTTTTTTAACTTTTAAACTAAACCATATAAATACCAACACTTTTTATACCATTTCACACCACAAAACCATTCAAATATACTTCTATTCTCTTATTTTTTTTTCTCAAAAGTATGGATCAAAATCAAAATACCCCAATCACTTCAAACACCCCAACAACCCCAAACACTCAAAATGATCAATATTAAGGTTACATGCAAATGTTAACATCCCAAATCTAACAACAACCTCTATTTACCAACATTTCATATCAACCAAACTACTTCCAACAACAAAGACCACAACAATTCAATCAACCCCAGTTCCAAGCTTTTCCATAATTTCAACCTCAACAATTCCAAACACAACCATCTCAACAATTCCAAAAACAACCGTCTTAAGTCCCCTTATCTCAATCCCCACCTATAAACCTGGACAACGACGACGACGAACGGGTCGAAGAAACACAACCATCTCAAGTCCCCTTATCTCAAATCCCACTTATAAACCTGGACAATGACGACGACGAACGAGTCGAAGAAACACAATCATCTAGAAGAAGACAACCAAAAGGAAAAACTACAAAAAAGAGGATCGACTTGGAACGAAGATGAGGAGGAAGCTTTAGCTAAACTTGGATTTTTATATCGTGTGACTCGAGGACGGACAACGCACAAACGGGAAACAATTTTTGGCTTCGTGTTTTAGATCAGTTTCACTTGCTTTTGGGAAGGCAAACGGGTCGAACGCACGATGCGGTCAATGGAAATGGTGTGAACTACGAGCGGCTTGCACCAAGTTTAACGACATATTTGAAAATTTGAAAAATATGCATAAAAATGGTAGCAACGATTTCAATATTTTATCAACCGCTTACCAACTATACAAGGTTACCAACAACGGTAAAACGTTCGACCACCAAAAAACGTGCGAAATTTGTCGTAAGGGTCCAAAATGGGTCCTTAACCCGGAGACTTCACATTCGGAATCAACCACCGACTCCAACAAAAGGCCAAGAACTTCCGAGTCGGATGTGGGTTTTGGTGTCGACCTCAATGAAGACTTCGACGACACCGAAGGGGAGGGTCCACTGGAAGTCCAACTTCGTCGATCACTGGGAAGGGGCAAGGGGAAAAAGGCGACGTCTTCAAGTGGAAAAGCGAGTAATGAAGATGTACTTGCGGAAAAATTTGACAAAACTCTAAAAGGTGCGTTTGGTTGTGGAAAATTTTCCAGTTTTCCAGAAAAATTTTCCAAGGTAAAGGGAAATTTCGAAAAGCGTTTGGTTCGTTGAGTTTTCCAAAATTTTCCAAGAAAACGAAAAATTTAGGGTGCGTTTGGTTGTGAAAATTTTCTAGTTTTCTAGGAAAATTTTCCAAGAAAAATGAAAATTTTGAAAACGCGTTTGGTTCGTTCAATTTTCCAAAATTTTCCAAGAAAATTAAAATTTTCAGTTTTCCAAATTGTATGTAAATTAGAAAAGTGATTTTTACAGTTTTCCAAAGTTTTCCAAATTTCTAAGATGGAAAATAAAAACTCCCTCAGTTTCAACCAAACGCGTTTTCTAGAATTTTCATTGAAAATTGAAAATGAAAACTCAACTCTATTTTCTGAAAACATTTTCTTATAAATGAAAACAATTTTCCGCAACCAAACGCACCCTTATGTTTTTCAAATTGTATGTAAATTAGAAAAGTGAATAAACAGTTTTCCAAAATTTTCTAAAATTTTATGATGGAAAATGAAAACTCCACCGGTTTCAACCAAACGCGTTTTCTAAAATTTTCATTGAAATCTGAAAATGAAAACTCAACTCTATTTTCTGAAAACATTTTCTTGGAAAATAAAAACAGTTGTCCACAACCAAACGCACCCTAAGGTTGTGTTTAGTTGCGGAAAAATGGGTCGTTTTCCGGAAATTTTTTCCAAACAAATGAGAATTTCGAAAACGCGTTTAGTTTGTCTTTTTTTTTTCTAAAATTTTCCGTTTTCTAAAATTTTCCGTTTTCTAAAATTACAAAGAAGTTGGAAATTTTTGAAGAACAGATACTCATTGTTTTCCATATTTTTTCAATTCCAAATTTTTTTCCAAAATATAAACACACACTCACTCCTAATCCATCCACCTCTATCTACCCCTACCTTAACACCCCCAACCCACCACACCCCTACCTACCCAAGCCCCCCTCCCCCCACCCCACCAAACACACCCACCCACCCATAAACCCACATACACATACCCACCCCCCACAAACACACACACAGACCCACACCTACCCTCACCCTCACAAACACACACACACACATACACACACACACACACAAACACACATAAATACCCACCCTACCCCCCCCCCACAAACACACACACCCACCCTTCCCCCCACCTACACACACAAACACACACCCACCCCCATCCCCACAAACACACCCACCCACCCAACACCCCTACCACAATTACCGACCTACCATCAGCACCGCCGGCCGCCATCACCACCACTGTCAAATTTGAAATTTTATGCTTTTATGTTTTTTTTAGTAATTTAAGTTTGTAATGTGTTTTTATGTAATGTGAAATATTTAATTATGTTTATTAATTATGACTTTTTATTTATTTTAATCTAAATATATATAAAAAAGAAAGATAAACAATGTGAAGTTATAACCATTTCCAAGGGCTAATGAACATTTAGTGGAGGTGATGTGACGCATAGATGACAATCACTTTTCTAGTGAATATTTAGTAATCACACCCCATAGCCTAAATGTTGGATTTGTTCTAATCTCTAATACAATACTTGGACTTTTGGAGTACTAATTTTAATCTTATTTATTTTTTTAAATTCGTATTTATAAAAGTCGGCCGTATTGAAAATGATAAAGACCGGCAGTGACTAGGAGGCAGGATGGAATGAACCACATGGGCCAACAAATTTGAAATTTATGACAAAAAGTAGAACCAGCTTTGTGGGTGCCTGAGCATTTTCCTGGCCTTAGAGACCCAGCTGGGCCATACTTCCTCATAGTTATTGTCCATGTCTTCGACTCTTTTAAGTTTTAACCGGTGGTTTACTTGTATCATATAGGGTGCACATTTCAAACTCGGAAAAAAAAATCAGGAACTGGTTTTGAAATAACCGAACCATTAGATTAGAACCGTTTTTTATAAAAAATTGAGAACCGTTTTTTTTTCTCGGTTAAAAAACCTAAACAAACTGATTATTTTTAACCAAAAAACCTTTTATTTAACGTAATTTCAGTTCTAAAAATCTAAAAAATCCGAACAGATAATAACCAAAACAGATCTAATAGATAATAACCGAAATCGATCTAAAGATAATCGGCTTTAAAAAATCGAAACCGGTTTAAAACGGTAAATGTGCAAATAATATTATAAAGATAACATCACCGGTATCGGTATAAATTGCATGCAACATTAGTATTTTTGTAAATGTTGGATGACTTTTATCAAAGGTGATTAGTTATGAGTAATGTTTTTCGTATAAAATATATTTTATTGTCTTATATGATAGATGTAAAAGTGTTCTTAAAAAATAAATTAATTTTTTAAATAAGAGAATTACCTTATTTTGATGTAATTGGAATTGTAATTGGTATAGTTGAGGAATTTTGCGGGAAACCAACCACGTGATATAAGTTGGTTGTTAACGTGTGAACCTAAAAGATCAATTTTTATATGAAAATTATTAAAATACATATTAGGTAAATTTAACGTTTTTTTTAACATGATGGTTGTTAATGTGTGAACTTAAACACCATTTTTTTTTCTTTTTTAGGTTTTATACTATTTTTTCTTATTAATTTCATAAAATGTCATTATCATCACGTATCTTGCTTTTAACAAAACTTAAAAAACTATATTTCAAGTATTTTGTAAACTTCGAATATCTTAATTAAATGATTCATCACCATATATTTACAAGAGAAATAGACAAAAAAAAGGCTAATATAAATAAGTCATTTCCAAAATGTAGGCACAAACCAAACAAATTACAAAAATAACAATGAATATTACGGATGGTACTTGAGAATTCATGAAATAGATCGCAAAAAACGTACATGGGTACGAGAAATGCTAAAATGGGCTCGATCAACTTATCGGTATTTCTTTCCGACAAAAATGAGCACAATTCGATTTCTTATAAATTAAATTGGTGTTCTCGAGTTTCATTAAAT